ACTACTACTACTACTACTACTACTACTACTACCACCACTGCTACTACTACTACTACTACTACTACTACTACTACTACTACTACTACTACTACTACTACTACTACTACTACTACCGCTGCTAGCACGAATACTACTACGACTACTACTACTACTACTACTACTACTACTACTACTACTCTACTACTACTACTATATACTACTACTTACTACTATACTACTACTTACTACTACTACTACCACTACTAACTACTACTACTACTAACTGATACTACTACTGACTACTACTACCCCCTTGTTAAAAAAAAAAAAAACTACTACTACTACTACTACTACTACTGACTACTACTACCACCTCTACTACTACTGCGACTACTCCTACTACTACTACTACTACTACTACTACTACTGTTCCTACTACTACTACTACTACTACTACTACTACTACCACTACTACGACTACGACTACTACTACTACTACTACTACTACTACTACTACTAGGCACTCGTCCTCCTCCCTCCCCGCTCTTTTGAAGACCACGTTGGCAAACATGTAATTGGCGCGCAGTGTCCCTTTGACGTAAAGTCGCCGGGCGTACGGTATTTGGCGCTGTCCCTTTGACGTAAAGTCGCCGGGCGCACGGTATTTGGTGTTGTGTCCCTTGGACGGAAAAACTCCGGGAGCGCTCTTCGATGGAAAATCTCTGAGCGGCAGCGCTCCAGCGCCCTCACGCCGCCGGCAAGATCCATTGGCGTGCCAGGGCGAGGTCCTCGATCTCCTGCGTCTCCGCGGCCATGCGCTCATCGAACTTCTGGAGGGCTTTCAGCGCGGATGGGGGTGGGCCTTTCTGCAAGACCTCCCTGGGCGGCGGCCGAAGCAAGAGCATATCGCCCATGCAAGTAGCTCTGCTGAGCATCGCGTAGAGGTGCAGCCACCAGTTCTCCGCTCTCTCCTCCGGGCTGCCTATGCTCGTGTCCTGCGCGCAGTCGATGGTCACCCCGGTGCGGATCGTCTGGCCTTGCGAAGCGGTTGACGCCAGGAAGCGCCCGTGCGTGAGCGCGTATCCATACCTCTTAACCCGGTGCACTTTGCCGGCATTCTTCCACTTGACGTGCGCCTCCATGAGCGGGAAGCAGAACAAGCCGTTCGCCTTCTCTTTTTGGATTCCGAAGGAGTTCATGAGGGCGTCGACCACGTCGGGGCTCTGCTTCTTGAACTTGTGCACCTGCATCCAGATGCCGGCAGGCAGAAAGCGCGGGCGGGAGATCTCTCCCGGGGCGCAGGCGCTGTACCTTTCCTGGTCGCTGCTCTCGAACACGAAGCTCACGATGGTGGCTTTCTGCTCCTGGATCAAGCCTTTGCGCACGGACACCTTGTCGGTGAATCTCACCTCCGTGCCCACGTGCGCAGGAAGAACTCCGTGCATGTGCCCCGTTTCGCCAGGGTTCGGCACGTTCAGCAGCCTTTTGCAGGCTTCAATAGTTTCCTGTGGCGCGCCGCCGACGACGCCCTCGTCCTTTGATTGCAGGAAGACCAGCGGCACGCCCATGGCGCGAGAGTCGACCATGCTCCGGCGAGACATCCATCGGACCAGCGTGCTCCAGTACCAGACCATTCCGAATCCGGTCGCTAACTTTTCTTCGTCGTGCCTCGGGCCCCTCGCTCCGGTCGCGCAGTCAGCGGCGACCCGAGCCTGGAAGGCTGCCCACACCTGATCTGGAATCCGTCGCGCGAAGCGCATGCAAGCGAGGAGCTCGATCAGCGGGTCGCCCGGCTTGAAGCGCTCGGTGCCCTTCAGCTCGATCACGTGGGGCACTTTTCCGAACACTCTGATGGCGTGCTGCACCTCCACGCTCGGTGGCGCTTGTAGTTGCCGTCCTTGTCTTTCTCTTGGACGTCCCTGATGAGCCCTATGGCCTTCGTCGGGGTGAGCTGGAGGAAATCACCCAAGTGAATGGCGATGGGAACGCGCCCAAAATGATGGTGTTCCTTCCTGTAGTTGGATTCGTCCACGGCGAACTCCTGGCCCCTGCCGAACATGCTCCTGAAGTCCAGCATGTTGTAGAGGCCCGCAGATATCATGCTGATCTCCTCCATGACGAGCACGCGCACTCGGCGCCAGTGCTGCACGAGCTTCTTGAGCTTCTCGGCGCTAGGCCGCATCTTGTCGTTGGTCAGCTCCTGCACGGCCATGCCTCCTGCTCTGTGGATCGTCATGGCCTCCACGTCCGCCGTCGAGATTTCTTGGCCGGAGCGTTGGAGAAGGCCGCCACGACGCGACTGAGACTGGCTTTGCTCTCTTCCGGCCAGATGTGGTTCACGGCCTTGAACACGAGCTCCTTGACCACGTGCGTCTTCCCGGATCCACCCTGCCCCAGTAGGAGGATGTGGTGAACCTTGCGTTGGTGGCAGGGGGTGCCGTTCTTCTCGTCGCGCCAGACCTGGTCACAGGCATCAGCAAAGCGCATGGCGAAGATGATCTGGTCTCGAGTGAGCCGCTTGTCCTCAGGCAAGCCAGCCACGAGGTCCATGATGTAAGCGCTCGGAGTAGCGTGCACGCCGGCTTCGTCGAATGACGCCGGTTCAGGGTCTTTCCCGTCTCCGGCACCAGGCGCCTCATCCTCGTCGTCGGATTCATCTTCGCCTGCCGGCTTATCTTGGAAGGCGAGATCCTGCAGCTTTAGCATGTGGAGCTGCTTGTCCACGTGACCCGTTCCGCTCCACACGTCGGGCATGCTGTCGTGCAGACCTCGGTACAGCTGACGCCATGCTTCCCCGCGGCCTTGGTCGAACAGGTGACTAGCGCGCGAGTGGTCGGGGAGGACGTCCTTCCAGTCCATGCACGGAAGGGCCAGCAGCTCCTTCTCGAACGCTCGGAGCCGGGTCCTATGTCCGTAGGTCAGCGTCTTTCTGAAGTCCTCGGAACTCGTCATCCCCAGACGGGGCAGCTCCTCGAAAGTGCCAATCTTCAACTGCGGCGCAGGCGGGGGGTCGTCCGCCGCGTCGTCCGCCCCCTCGCCGTCGCTAGGCCCGCCCCCTCCAGCGGTCATGCGGAGGTGCGCCTGGTGAACGGCAGCGTCTGACTGGTACTGGCGCGGGCGCTTCTCCAGGCGTGCTCTCGCAAGACCTTCCACGTTCTGCGCGACTTGCAGCCCGACGATGGCGGCGCACTGATTCACCGTGGCGCGCTCCTTGCTCCTGTCAGGACCTCAGAAGCACGAGTGGCGCGAAGCACGGTGGCGCACGAAGACTTCACAGGGAATCATCAAACACCGGGGAAGGTCGATGGATGAGGGGACGTACGCTCGGAGCACCCGACGCGCCCGACGAGGGGGCCTGGCGTTCTGACCGAATGCCCGGAGAAGAAAGGGGTTACCGAGGGCCGTTACCGGGAAAACGTCAAACATCCGGGGCTCTTCCGACATCTGAAGGCCAACGACGCGCGCAACGACGCCCACGACGACCTCGACTGTATGTTTAGACCGGAAGAGCCACCGACGCAGTCGACGATTTCTCGCAGAGCCCCGATCGAGGCTGTTGATTGGCGCCACTGAGCGCGAGGCAATGATCCGGATCGACTTCCCCGACGTGGCCGCGCTCCAGCCAGGCGTCGTGCTGCGCTTACTTCCTCTGTCTCCCACAGAGAGTGGAACTCGAACCTGTCCAGGAATCGCCGTCGGCCCTCTGCTGCGTCGAGCTCCATCTCTTGCTGGTGCAGTATCCAGTTCGCCGTGAACGCCGTGCTCGGGGTGAAATACTCCCGGGAGTCGGCTGGCAAGGGCGAACACATGTGTGCAAATGCTTCCAGTTCAGCACGCTCCTCAGTCAGAGTGTCGCTGTACGCTATAGCCGAGGGGCGCAGAAGCAATTGCTTGTACATGGCAGCCGTTTCGGAATCCTGCACGTGCGAAGGCATCTGGAACCCATCGAACATGGGAACTCGGAACACGGTGGTAAGCCGCTGGATTCGGGTCTGGGCATGCGTGTAGTTCGGTTCGAACTCGAACTCAATGGCCGTGGGCTTCCTCTCTGTGCCTGGGGGGCATGGCAAGCAAGGGAAGCGCAGTGCCTACTCAAAGTCCTCCCTCGCCCACTCTCGCACTTCCTCGGCCCTCGCACACTCTGACATGTATCCCCCATGCCAATCGTTTTCTCCTCCTGGCCCTCCTCCTCCTCTTCTTGCCTCTCCAGCGTTTCCGCCTTTCCCCCCCCCCTCTTCCCTTCCCAGAAAACGGCCCTCGGTGACCCTCCCTCTCCTCTTCGCCCCTCCCCCTGTTTCTCCTCCTGCTCCCCTCCCCCCTTCTCTCGATTTCCCAAGCCGCGTCCTTGGAAAGGGGGCTTCTCGGCCGAGTAGACCCACATGGCGTAGATGTACAACGGCATGTCTTTCAGGGCCGGGTGGTCTCCGCGAATCAACCAGTCGTCGACGGGCGTTGTGGTGCGCGTGCGTCGGGCACCCTCGCTGTCCTTGCCCTCCGTCGTCTCCGCCTCTGCCTCGTTCAAGAAGCGCTGCAGTGCGGTCAAAACTACTTCGCGCTCGTCCTTGTAAGACCCCGAAAAGCTCTGGCTCTTCACGGCCACGTCGTAGTCGTAGGCAGACTGGAGGTCCCCGAACTCGGTGCCATCCGGGCGCCGGTAAAGCTCCGCGCCACCGTCCAGACACACGCGCTCCCATCCCACGAGCGGATAAGACTGCTTATCTTTGGTGAGGTACCTCAAACCAACTCCGCCGCCGTCCTTGATGCGTCTGTGTCGCACGGCCTGGCCGAACTTGTTGCGCCACGTCTGCGCAGCGAGAAAGACGGCCCTCTTGATGAACACCTTCCAGCACCGATGGGAGAAGTACGTCATGGTGTTGAACATGATTGGCATCAGTATCTCGCTCATGCTCCTGTGATGGCACCGCTTGAAAGCAGACGACATTGAGTTCAGAGTCTGCAGGACCTGCCCGAACTTGTTGGGGCCTCCTCGCCTGGGAGCCTCGGAAGCAGCACTCCCCTTTTCATCGTCGCTTCTTGGTGGCCTCCTGCGTTTCCTCCCGCCGGAGCTCCAGGCGCTCGATCCCCTTGCGCAGCTCCTCGAGGGCCCCCTGCAGGTCCGGCAGCTGCTTGGTGGTGTACGCATTGATGTAAAAGCCAGTGTTGATGCCGTCGCACATCGCGGCCGTGGACTCTCGCTCCATGGAATTCGCGAGCTCGTTGTCCTGTGCGTCCGTTGCGTCGTCCGACCGCATGCGCTCCAGGAGTATGTCTCTCCATTCCTCAGGAGTAAACGCTTCCGTGAATGCGCAAGGCTCGGCGGGTAGGTTGCCCTTCTCGAGGGGGCGCCTCGGCAAGTAGTCGTTTTCGACCCACTCGTAGCTGTTCGTGTATCCGAGAGTTGGCCGGTTGCCGAGATGCGGGAGCTCCTCCTCTGGTTGGGGCCAGTGCTGCACTGGGGGAAGGCGCCGTAGATCCTGAGAAGGGCAAAGAAAAACCCAATCTCACTCTGCAGCCCCCCGCCCCTCCTCCCCCAAGTGATCGCCCAGGCGCCTCCGCAGAAACAAAGGGGGGGGGAGGTCACCGAGGGCCGTCGCTCGAAAGGGCACCATCAAAACACGCTTCAAGAACGCAGATCAGAACACCCTCCGGGAAACACCAGGCGTCAATTTCGAAACCACCAGCAGATCCTGCACGCCCAGGTTGCAGCGCATGCAATCGAGCCCGCCATAGTTGGTGAGTCACTCGAAAGGGTGCTCCTGGAACAAAACCAATCCGCCTGTCATGCCATGCTCAGATTGGTGCACCACGACGACTGCATTGCGGAGAGGCTTCCCTCGCCGTCGTCTCTGCCAGTCGGGTAAGCTGATGATGTAATAATAGCCATGCCTACATATCTGCTGAACCTTTACGCCGCTGTACTTGAAGCAGCTCTCCCCGCACACGTGCACCAGGATCTCTTCAGCCAAGGACCTCGCGTCCTCCGTGAAAGCCTGCTCCCACGAGTGCGCGCTCTGCTCGTCGGCGCTGAGATCACTGCGGCGACGGAGCGTACCGCGCCTGCGATGGTCCGGACACCGGAAGACGGCAAACTCGGAGATGACCTTGGAGTACGTGGATCCGGACTTCGGCTTGCTGCCCCCTGCTGCGCCCCACTGCGTGACGGACTTGTCTTTGAGAGGCAACTCAGGTCTGCTCCAGGCTGCCTTCTCGGCCTCGTCCTCGAAGAGCCGACTCTGCTCTTCCGTGGGTTCCACGCCAGACTGTTGGAGATCGTCGCGCATGGCGTCGATCTCGCTGCCGCCGTCGTACCGGGTCAATCGTTGCTCTGTCTTAGAGAAACGGAGCGGGTCCGCGACCTGGTCGAGGTGACCGAACCTCTGGGGCGCTCTCACCACGGAACTCTGGCACGTGGACTGCATGGACGACACGCGCTGCTTCATCCAGGTCGCCAGGCGGGTCTGCGGGGGGCCAGGCTTTCTCCGCAGCAGTCGCAACACGTCTGCTGGTCTCATGCCAAGTAACCACACGAGGATGTGCGGATGTAGAGACCCCCTGCCCTGCGCTTCGATCTCCCCACGGAAAGCGAGCACGGGGCCGAAGATGCCCGGCCCGAAAGAAGAAGCCGCAACGCCGTCCGTGCACTGATCGGCAGAAGGCCGCGAGCGACGCCGATTCTTCATGAGCTCTGGTCGTGCTCCCAGGACATGTATAAAGAACAGCTTCATCATCTTGTCGAACACGAGCGTCTGCCCCACTGGATCTCTGGCAAGCCTCTTCATCATGTCTCGGTACTTCGGCAGGGTCTCGTTGCCAGCGATGAAACTGTCCTCGAGACGAATCTCTTCCCCTTGGACGACGAGGAGCAACGGCTGCTTCGTGTCCGCAAGGTTGGGAGTGCAGAACACGACCGGCTCGCCGAACAGGGTCATGTAGGCATTCCCCTCGTGCCGGCACAGTCGGCGGTGCCCGTCGGTGCCCATGACGTCTGCGTGGCCCATCTGCAAGGCATTCATGGCCGCAGAGGGGTTGTGAGGGAACTCTTGCTCGGATGCCAAGTTGCGAAGCCCGTGAATATGACCACCCCGCGCATGCCGCGAACGAGCGGCGGCAGCGATTTCTTCCGACGTCAACTTCAAGAGCTGTTCGGCGAACTTCATGCCGCCGCTCTTCAGGAAGGCGTACTGCGACGAGTGGCGCTCCGTGAGCCAGTAGATGGAGGAGAACAGGCGAAGGACGACCCAGAATCGGAGGCGAACCGGTTGGACAGGAGATTCGGGTCCACCTTGTGCTCGTCGCTTTCCCCGTCCACCGTGTACTCGAGCCCCTCGCGCATGAGCAAGCACGTGATCCATTCCACGGGCAGGAGCGGGACATACGGAGCATTGGCTCGCTGCGGATCGCCAAAGGCTCCGTCTCCGCAGTGCCAAAGAGTGGGTCGAGCCTGCGTCGTGGCTTCCCAGTTGAACAGAGAGAACGGCTTACTGCCTCGCGGGATCTGCAGGTGGGGCACAGTCGTCGAAGCGGACGCGGCGGCGGCGTCGGAAGGCGGCGCCCCGCTCTGCGCCGCAGGCGGAGCACCCTGAGTGTCGTCTTCACTGAGGGGCCACTGCAGCTCTGCAAGCATTTTGTGTTGCGACTGCTCGCTCGTGGCTTCCGAAGCTTGGCGCAGAGCTCAAGTATGCGCTCTCGGCCGGCCTCGTCCTGGAGGCAGGACTCGTTGCCGTCCAACTGCGACTCCAGGATGGACTCCGCTTCCGCCTCCACCGACCGTGCTGCGGCGGCGTCGAGCTCTTCCAGCTGGTGCTGCAGGCCCGTGATCTGCATGCAGCTTTCGTGAGCCTTGGCGCCGGGGATGTCATCGGGGTGGAAGGCGGCCACCACTCTGGACTGGCGCTCGAGCGCGACGTCCTCGTCGACCTTGTCGGCGTGCCCCGCCGCCGTGGCGTCCCCGGGCCCGCTGGACAGTACCGCGCCAGGGTCGTCGGTGTCCATGGGGACCTCTACAGCGGAGTCTGAGATCGGGGGCGGCACCCGTTTCTCATTGCCCGCGGAGCACCATTAGGCCACGAGGTCGGCGTCGTAAGTGGTCGCGGCGTATACGACGTTGGTCTTCCGAAGGTAGGCCGCCTGGGCGTCGAACGCGGACTTCTCGATCTGGAGCTGAGCAATGCGGCTGACGCGGGCGCGGCCTCTGCGCAGGGCCTCGTCGGCGCGCTCGTCGCCCTGGGGAGACGGCCCCGTGAAAGTGACGGCAAAAGACTTCCCCAGATCAGGGGTCGGGAACCGCGTCAAGGCCTCGGTGCAGGAGGCGTTCCCGAACAGCACAGCGCATCCCGTGAAGCCAGACTGGTGGAAAAGGAAGTCCCAAGAGCGCGCGGTCTGAGGGCCGGCAGTCTCAACCTTGGAGCGCTCGTCGGGCCGCAGCACAACCTTGGTGGCAACCACCCGCGCCAGAGCGAGCAGCATCTCGTGCGCCAGCGTCGTGTCTCGGAACAGCGGGAGCCAGCGGCCAATCCACGTGTGGTTCGCCAGAGCGTACTTGCTCATCGTGGGCTCTTTCTTCCTGAAGTTGTCGAAGCACTCTTGGCAGACGGTCACTTTCTCGCCCCCGCTGGCTTGCGCATCATTCACTCGGCGCTTGTGGAGGAGCACGAGCCTGCGCATCTGCGAGTCTCCGAGCCTCATGTTCACTGCAGACGCCAGCAGCTCTTTCTTCGGGATGAGGTTCCAAGCCTCGTGGTATGTCTCTGGGTCGAGCAGCACAGCCACGGCCTCTGGGTCCTTCATGAAGCAGTGCGGCCCGGCCAGGTACACTGCCTGGACGTCCTCCGACCACTGGCGTCGCGCGCAGAAAACGCAAGCCTTTAAGCATCTGGGCCCCCACCTCTGGTCTCGGGGCAGTCCTTCGTCCGAGTTGGCCTGCGCCGTCATCTCCTCCGAAAGCCCGTCCCAACCCATGGCTCCGCGAGTGTAGAACTCCGTGAAGTTGCTGATGATGAGCCTCATCTCCTGGCCGGTGGTCTTGTGCGGACACAGCGACTCGAGCGCGAAGAAAGCATTGCGGTACCTCTGTTCCCCCCCGTGCTCCTTGCTCACGTGCTCGAGCCAGTCGCCCTTGCAGATGAATTCTGCGTTCTGGCACAATTGGCACGGCACAGGTTGAGTGGGCCGAGCCCGCATGTCCCAGGTCTTGACCTTCTCTGTGGATTCCTTGCGGCGAAGCTCACGGGTATGTTCATACCTGCGGATCGGGTCCTGGGTTTCAGCGAAGTGATCGAGTCGGGTGCGGTCTCGATTGTCCCCCTGGCCAGATCTCGTCCACCTGCGCTTGACGTTCTCGTCTGCCAGCAGTCGCGCCTTTCCGGCCCGTAAAGCTTCTTTGCCACGGGCATGCGTGTCTGTGTCCTGCTGCCAGCCGCTTCGGTCCTGCTGTCTGCCGCTTCGGTCCTGCTGTCGGCCGCTCTGGCCCTGCTGTCTGCCGCTTCGGTCCTGCTGTCTGTCGCTTCGGTCCTGCTGTCGGCCGCCCTGGTCCCGGCCACTGCGGTCCCGGTGAAGGCCGGCCTGATTCCCCGCGCCGCCCGGATCTGGCCCGCGGGCCTGTCTGGTTGGCCCCCGGGCACGTCGGTCTGCTTGCCGCTGGGCCACAGATGCGGCCTCGGCCACCTTGCCGGTCAAGAGATCCAGCATGGTGCGAGGGTCAGCCCGCGCCTTTTTACCGCGCAGTCGCCTGCCGGTGTCGACGCGCGTCAAGAAGACGAGGAATGGGAAATGCTCTGGTGGCTCGCTCAGCCAGGTCACCTTATCGTCGTTCATCTTGAACCAGGCGTCGTTCGACTGCACGAAGGTCACGTAATGGCCAGACTGCATCCTCTGGTCGGCGGAGACGTCTCCTGCTGCCTCGTGCGCCACGAACGAGGCGACGCGATACGTGACGCTGTCCTCAGTACCAGCCACCGTCACCTCAAACTCTGCCGTGCCCCAATCTGCCCTGGCAGTGACGGAATGCCGGACGCCGCCGAGCTCGTGGGTATTCTCCACGCGCAGCAACAGCGCAGGAGAAGGCGCCGCGATGGCCGCGTCTCCTGTCAAAGAAAGCATCAGCATTCCCGCAACATTGACTTTGGCTGCCGCCGCTGCTACCTGCGCGTCGGGAGACACCTCGCACAGGATCTGGTCACCGACGGCCCCGCCGGCTCCCGAGCCGAACACTTTCGTGCGCAGGTCCTGGGCGTTGTTCAAGCCTTCCAGCAGGAAGGTGGCGCACTCGGAGGCGTCCTGCTGCGTTCCTCCAGGATACTTACTGTGGTTGAGGAAGTAGCTGACCAATTCGCCAAGCAAGGGCACCGTGTCCAAGCACGTGCTGGCCGGGTCTGCCTTAGCGAGACGACTGAAGTCTGAAATCTCGGCGGACTTCCACTTCAGATCTGCCTCCGCCTACTCGGACAACCACGGCGACCCTGGCGGCCGATCAGTCAGAGCGAGAAGCTCGTGGAGGGCCGTCTGCAAAGATGGGCAATCAGCGATGGGGGTCACCGAGGGCCATTCCCCAGAGAGCTAGAAGGCGAAGGGGTCACCGAGGGCCGTTCCCGGGAGGGCAAGGGGCGAGGGGTCACCGAGGGCCGTTTCCCCATGGGACAAGAGGCGAGGGGGTCACCGAGGGCCGTTTCGCAGAATTCGACAGGAGCTGAGTGTCACCATTTGAGATATGCAAGGACGCAAGTTACCCGACTCGCCCTTTGACGGGCAGCCTCTGGGCATGGCGATTGGCGAAGCCATTCGATGGAAAATCTCCAGGTGCACAGGTCGGATCGCTCACGTGCAAGAACCCTTGGAACAAGGCCAGAGAGGATCGAGATCAGAGATTGTCTGAGGCCCGGGCATACGAGAGAACATAGCGCCTCAGGCACTGGCCGAGCGGCATCAGGTCGGCCTCGCCGCTGCGAAGAATCTCCAGCCTGGCAGACGCAGACGCACCGTGCTCTCGACGCGACCAAATCCCATGAATCTGGGGCAGGGGGGAAGGGCGAAGGCTGTTTCCAAAACGTGTTGTACCCAACGACTGGAGTCGCTCGCCGTGGTAACCGAACACTGGATCGGAGAGCTCAGCGGTAGCCCAGGGGCCATTTTTTTTCTTTTCTCAAAACGCAATGCGATGTTTCATGGAATTCGGGGCGCCAGAGCAATTGTGCGGAACGACGCGCTCATTTGGATTGAAACATCCCGAAGCCTCCAAGGCTTGCAGTGGATCAGGGCCTGCACCACGACGTTGAGGTAGCACGTATTCCCGAAGTTAGGCATGCACACAGACGTCAGGTAGAGGTTGGACAGGTCATCTGTGGCGCAGGCAAAGAAACCGAATACTCTCTCCCTTGCGAACGAGAACGAGTCCGCGTGGGCGTGGCTCATGTCTCTGAAGTCCGCCCAGGCAGCGAGGACCTGTGTGATGCGCTTGATCCTGACAGGGTCCGGGCGCGGGTCCTCCTGGTCTGCTGGGTAGAGGAACTTCGCCGCATCCAGCCGCTCTGCCAGGGCCTCCTGTCGCGCGCGGTCCGCGACGCGTTCCGCGTCGCGCAAGGAGTCGATGGCATGGTGCTCCGCGGCGGCTCGAAATGTCCAAGGCCAGGGGGCGACGTCGCTCACCTCCCCGTAGAACCGAGCGCTAGCTCCACCGAGCATGTCGGGCTGCAATGCGAACAGACGAAGGGTAGGTACATCCACTCTGTAGGATCCAGCGTTCGTAGAGTACCTGTAAAGCGCCTGCCACAATGCTGCATCGCCGCCCCGTCTCGAAGGCCAGTGCTCTGGATCAGCAGCTCGCTTGGCAGCGAACTCAGCGTGCCATTTGACTGCTTTCGAATCCGCTTGTGACGACAGGTTCTCGAGCTGAACTGATTCTCGCAGGCCGTGCGACCAAGGTCCTTCTGCCTAACGTTGGTCCGTCTCCGCCGGCCCAGGGGGCAGCTGAATGCGAGGCGTGCCAGCAGACCGAACAGAGGTAGCCAACAGAACTGCCGGAGACCGCTGCGGGGTGAAGGCCTGCGCCGGCGGAGCCTTCATTGGCGTGGCCGTCAGTGTCGTAGCAAGCGCTGCGCAAGAAGACTGCGGGTCAGCACCCCCTTTGCCGGCATCGCCGATTCGCTGGGATTTCGCCGGCGGCGAGTCATCGTCTTCCCAATTTCCCCTCTGCAAATCAGAAGAAGCGTCTTCTGGAAACCCGCCCGAAGAAGGGTTGAGTAAGTACCTCACCAAGCACTGCCTCCTGGAGTCGTCGCTCCCTCCTTGATGTCCCAGCTCGTTGTACTTGACGTGCAAGGTATTGGGCCGCAAATTTTTCAGCTGGCGGCGGTGCGCGTGAAATGCGGGGACCACCGTCGCTTCAGAGCAGCAGCGTAAGCCTGCCAAGCTTACCTCGCCGCCATTCTGAATCATGTCTTTCTTCAGCGACGAGCACGGAGGCGGCAGCTCGCCCATGGCAATTTTAGGCGGCATGGCTAGCGCGCCTGCGCAACAACCAACTGCGGCCTTCGATTAGGCACCCTGGCGCTCCGAGCTGGCTTGAGCCAGAGTACTTACAGATCTGGATACTGCGCAAACCCATGCAAGTGCAACTGATGGAATGCACCCGCGATACCTGCCCCCCACGCACCCCCCGTGGCGCGGAGAAAATGCCACGCCTGCCACGCCCCGCGACCTGAGAACGGGATAGAGAGACCAGTGGAGAGACCCACTCCCCTGCGCACTTAGTGCCCCTGTGGAGTGGAAGAAAAGTGTCCCCGCCTGCCACCCCGCGCGACCGTGTGGGACAACTTTTTACTTTCTTCCTTAGAGAACCATTTCAGAGACCACCCCCTGCGCACCCTCTCTGGTGTCGAGAAAATGCCACGCCTGCCACGCCCCGCGACCCTGAGACGGATAGAGAGACCAATGAGAAACGACCCTCTGCGCACCCTCTTTGGTGTCGAGAAAGTGCCACGCCTGCCACGCCCCGCGACCCTGAGACATATAGAGAGACCAGTGAGAGACCACCCCTGCGCACCCTCTCTGGTGTCTGCAAATTCCGACGCCTTGGCCACGCCCACTCGCCGACCCTGAGACGGAATTTTTCATAATTAAAAGAGAGGACCAGTGATAGACCACCCCCGTGCGCAACCCTCTCTGGTGTCGGTGAAAGTGCCACGCCTGCCAACGCCCCGCGGAGCCCTGTGAGACGGAGTAGAGAGACCAGTGAAGACCACTCCCCTCGCAGACCCTCTCTGGTGTGAGAAAGTGCCACGCCTGCCACGCCCCGCGACCCTGAGACGGATAGAGAGACCAGTGAGAGACCACCCCCTGCGCACCCTCTCTGGTGGCGAGAAAGTGCAGAGCCTGCCACGCCCCGCGACCCTGAGACGGATAGAGAGACCAGTGAGAGACCACCCCCTGCGCACCCTCTCTGGTGTCGAGAAAGTGCCACGCCTGCCACGCCCCGCGACCCTGAGACGGATAGAGAGACCAATGAGAGACCACCCCCTGCGCACCCTCTCTGGTGTCGAGAAAGTGCCACGCCTGCCACGCCTGGCGACCCTGAGACGGATAGAGAGACCAGTGAGAGACCACCCCCTGCGCACCCTCTCTGGCGCCGAGAAAGTGCCACGCCTGCCACGCCCCGCGACCTTGAGACGGATAGAGGACCGCGGTGAGAGACCACCCCCTGCACGTCTGTGTGCTGTTTGCTTGTTTGCTGCGTGTGCGTGCTGTGTCTGTTTGTGCTGGTATTGTGTACGGGTGCTGTTTGTGTGTTGTGTGTCTGTGTGCTGCATGTATGGTGGATGTATGTGATGACTGTGATGTCGACTGTGGATGTGTGTCTGCTGTGTGCTCATGTGTCTGCTTGTGCTGATGTGGGGAACCAGAAAAAGAGAAAGGGAATCATCACACCAGCCCCTGGATGTGTGGATGGAAGAGGGAAGGAGGGGTAAGGAGGAAGAGGAGAAACGGGGGTGCGACGCAGCAGGGAAAGAAAACCAGAACCCCACTATGCATGTTGGGAAAAACTGGGAATCATGTGCTTTGTTTTGGGGCGTTCGGCTTTCAAATCCAGACGAAACCGACGGTGTGCGAAAGATTCGGCACGCGCGCGCGACAACGCGCGCGCGCAGTCCGCCCCATGTTTTTGCAGTGGATTGTCGCGACGGCACGCGCGCAAGGGCGTTCGAGCGATTTCGACATGCGCGCGCGAAGCCCGTTTGGTAGTATTTTCTAAGCATGATCGACCCACGAACCCAGAAAGGAATATAGAACTGTAACACATGGCAGCGTTTTCAAAGGCACCTGATTGGGTGACGGGCAAATGCAATGCTGAGTGTATCGATCTTGATGTACCCTGCCGAGGGCTGTGCTGTGCAGCGCCGTGCTGAATTGCGATGTGCCATGCCAGCGTTTTGATCTATAGCGTCGTTAGAGATCGAGTCATCCTTTGCATCGAGTCCTGACCGAAACTGATCTGGATCTTAAGCTCGAGCTGCCTGAACACATAGTAGCTGCCACCAGAGCTCATGGGCAAGGGGAACTGCCGGAGGCGCGCGCGAAACGTCCTCAAGGGATGTCGCCATGGCGACCTGCCAGGGGATCGCCGCCATGGGGTCGCACCGTAGGACGTGCCAAGGAACCCCGCAGCGACGGAACGTGCTCAATGGATGTGCCACGGCATGTTGCCCAGGGGACGCGCCCGCGAACGTGCCAGGGACTCGCAAGGACGCTCCACGAACGTGCAATGAACGTTCCAAGTTGCAATGCTGAGTGTTATCGATCTTGATGTACCCTGCCGAGGGCTGTGGCTGTTGCTGCACCCGCTTGTGAATTGCGATGTGCCATGGCGCGATTGTGCTCTATAGCCTCGTGGATCGAGTCCTCCTTTGCATCCGAGTCCTGACCGAACTGATCTGGATCTTGAGCTCGAGCTGCCTGAACACATAGTAGCTGCCCCAGAGCTAATGGACAAGGGAACATGCCAGGAGGACGCGCCGCGAAACGTCCCAAGGGATGCGCCAGGCGACGTGCCAGGGGACGTGCCATGGGGTCGCACCGCGGGACGTGCCAAGGGGACGCGCTACTGAACGTGCTGGGGACAAGCGTTTCGCTCGAGACATCCTATCACAATCATCCGAATTCCTACGCGCGGGACGCGGCACGCGCGAGACATCCTCGGAATTCCTGCG